CCAGTTCTGTTTGTTGTAATTGTGTATCAATTATAACACAGAATAATGAGTCTAGAGCCAGTTCTGTTTGTTGTAATTGTGTATCAATTATACAGAATAATGAGTCTAGAGCCAGTTCTGTTTGTTGTAATTGTGTATCAATTATAATACAGAATAATGAGTCTAGAGTCATTTCTGTTTGTTGTAATTGTGTATCAATTATAATACAGAATAATGAGACTAGTGCCAATTCTGTTAGTTGTAAATGTGTATCAATTATAATACAGACAGAAGCTGGCAACGTTAAATGAATAGTTCGTCCCCCTCCCCGAGACTATTTTTGACACAAAAAGCCTATTTTTGATACAAAGTTTTAAAATCAAACGTCTTTACATTTTGGGGTAATATCCTCGTATCCCATATAATATGTTATTAAGTAGTAGAAGAGAATAAAAAGTTGTGATGTATTCGGTTTTGCAAGATTACTAATATGAGTAACGAAATGAAATTTAGGTGCGGTCTTGTATTTTAAGAACGGTATATAAAAATAACAAACTTAGGTGGTCATTATCTCAAGCTATTTTCCACTGTCTTCAACCGTTCGAGATTTTACTAATTCAATACTTTTGTGTTTAAAAACGGTATATAAAAATAGCAAACTTAAATAAGTCCCATCTGCAACTTTTCATTGATGTAACATGTTGATCTAATCAGTTTAATATTCCATGTTTAGTTTTACTTTTGTTTTGTAATGTTACCCAATATTGAGTCTTAACACTATTTCTAAATAGTCAGTAAGTACATGTGATCTGTATCAACACCTCCTAAGCCTTTCGCAACCTCAAGATGTAGGTGCCTTGACAAGAACATTACAAATGAACATAGTTAATATACAGTACTATCTTATTGCTACTTATTGTTTATATACGGCTTTTATCTTGCTTATTTTTTTATATTTTAGATTACATATAAAAAAGGTCTTTTCACCTTTTTTTTCCATCGTCACTGTTTTGATCAAAAAACAACTAATTTCAAAATTCGCTTACTCTCAGCTACTGAGCGTTCTCTATTAAGAACAGAGTATGGTAGTTTAAATTCAAAATAAGTGACAAGTTAATCAATTTACATTTCACTGCACTATAACTTGATCCTAGAATCCCACTTTTGACCAACAACGCTTTCTTAAAATATAATGAGCATGGGTGTTTCAACCATATAGTCCTAACCACTTATCGCTACATTTAGATATAACAGAAACATAACTGTTTAAATCTTGATGAAAATTAAACATTTAGGCTACATCTCTATATGTCAGTTTTATGTCGTCGAACAACTAAGTAATTTAGAACTGCTAAATATGTAAAAAAAGTAACTTTAATCTATTAATAAAATGGGCATCGTTTGGTACAAATTTTTCATCAATTTTATCTTTTCTGTTTTTTGTTTTGTTTATAACAACGACTTTCGAAAGTTTTGATTTAAAATGTTGACTATATTCATTTGCGGAGAGCGTTTCAATCAAATTAATGAAAAGATGGGATTATATTTCAAAATCTTCATAAATTTGTTAAGAAATTGTGAAGGTAGGTCTTAAAGCAGTGCTCGAGGTTAAACCCAAGCTGTTTTAAACAAATAGTTTGTCGTTTCTCTGACCAATGGCCATTCAATGGTATGGAGCTGTGTCCTTGTTTACTTTCTGGAAATATTAACACAAATGAAATTAAGGTCAAGGAAAATATGTCTCAAGATTTAGGTCACGAACAACTGTTGTCGTTGTCTATCTAACCCTTTGAGTACAAGAAAACCTCGCAAATCAAATGCATTTAGAAACAATCAATAAATCATATTTTCCCAATAACACAATGCTTGATTTCTTATTATAATTTAAAACTTATTTCTGCTGCAAGTTCAAAATCAAGCATTGAAAACCATATATGTTGAAGATATGATTCTTGGTGCCACATATAGATCCTGTGTTAACCTCACAATAGACGAGTAATAGGATCTTATGTTAGGCGATTCAAAGTCCAGAAATTTATAACTTAAATATACATTGTGTATTTAAAATTTACTGACGTTCTTCATTAAGAAGGAATATCTTTGACATGGTTACTTACGTAAATTAGTCAGGAATTTGCGGATAATTCACAATTAACGTTAAGCATTTCTTCTGAAATTATCAATATGAAAAAGCAGTGAAATCAAATTAAGACCTTGTTTTAATATTTAAGAATTGAATATAAACGTTAGGTTTAGAGCTGTTAGTCTATACAAAGTTAAATATAAACGGTAGGTTTGGAGCTGTTAGTCTATACAAGTTAAATTTAAACGGTACTTTTAGAGCTGTTAGTCTATACAAGTTAAATTTAATCGGTACGTTTAAAGCTGTTAGTCAATACAAAGTTAAATATAAACGGTGGGCTTGAAGCTGTTAGTCTATACAAAGTTAAAAATAAATGGTACGTTTAGAGCTGTTAGTCTATACTAAGTTAAATATAAACGTTTGGAGCTTGTACTCTACAAAAAAGTTAACCATAAACACTAGAAACTGTTAGTCTGCAGAAAGTTAACTATAAACGTTAAATTAGGAGTTGTTAGTGTATACAAAGTTGAATATAAACCTTGTGTCTGGGAATCACTCAATACAAAGTTGAATATAAACCTTGTGTCTGGGAATCACTCAGTACAAAGTTGAATATAAACCTTGTGTCTGGGAATCACTCAATACAAAGTTGAATATAAACCTTGTGTCTGGGAATCACTCAGTACAAAGTTAGATATAAACCTTGTGTCTGGGAATCACTCAGTACAAAGTTGAATATAAACCTTGTGTCTGGGAATCACTCAATACAAAGTTGAATATAAACCTTGTGTCTGGGAATCACTCAGTACAAAGTTAGATATAAACCTTGTGTCTGGGAATCACTCAGTACAAAGTTGAATATAAACCTTGTGTCTGGGAATCACTCAATACAAA